ATGTGGAACAAAGCATCTATTCAGTTTTGGCTTACTGTTTTGTTAACATTTAAAACTGAGTATTTGGTGTTTAAATGGCTAGATTCCACCTTTTTTCTTAGGTTGCACATACCATCTAGGCATCAGTGTGGATGCCAAATTGATAAAATACAGTACTGAGTTCAGTTGAGACTTCATAAATTAATAATGAAGCAGCTGCCCTTAACTAATTAATAGAAATAGTTCATCTTGAATGACAAATAATGCAGTATTTTTCATTTTTCCTGAAAATGAATCCATATGCGAAAGGGAAGCAGTATGTGTCTTAAGGAAAGAGCAAGACTACTCCTGAATCTAGAGTAGCATAAGAGTGCTGATAGTCCAAAGGAGATGATTTAAAAACCATATTCCTTCTGGAGGACAGCAGTGCCTTTCTAAAAATGCTTGTAGCTTTTGCCTGATCATTCTGTCCCAAGTATTCTGGGCCAGTAAGAGGTGAAGCGAAAGAGTAGCAGGAAGGTTGTAGATACACTAAAGATTGTCAGGTTATATGCCAGTTCCAGTCTGTGGGGATATTTCTCAGTTCTGTACTTTCTTCTCCCTCTCCAAGAATTTTTCACAAGCTGCTTGGTACCCAGGGGAAGGAAGCAGAACTCCTGGGCTTTATACCCAGTTTAAGTGAAATCAGACGTGGGGCTGAAGTTTCCAAGTTTGAAAATGCTGCTGTTCTTAACGTGTGAGGTGTACATTGATCTCTCCCTGTAATTTTAGGTAAGTCGGTGATGCTGTATGCTGCAGAAACCATTCCCAAACTGAAAACAAGAACTCAGAAGATGGGAGGTAGTGATCAAAGCCTTCAGCAAGGAGAGGGAGGCAAGAAAGGGAAAGGAAAGAAGAAGAAGTGAGCTCACACCTGACATCGCTGTAACATTGCATAGCTGCATCTAAAACAAATGCAGATGGACATGTTGCTGCAGCTTTGAAGTGAGAGATACAAGCAAGAAATAAAGAGGGGAAGTTGAATAGAACTGCCTGCTTTATCAGAACTGGAATGCATTTAGCTGCCTTGTGTCTGTGTAACAATAAATCTGTTTTCACACACAACCTGCAAGTCCAGAGCTAAACACCAACTTTTAAAAGTGCAAGAACATAATCAGGTGGGGTGGGTAGGAGAATTAGTCCTTCCAGAAGAAAGATGCAGCTTTTAAAATATAAGTAAATATCCTTATGCAGACCAGATACCTGAAAACTGGTTGCCATAGTAAACCATTTATTTATGCTAGTGAAGCAGTTGTCTTAATTCTGTACTATTCCATATTAGGAAGAAATTTTACACTTTGAATAGTGAGGCACAGGTTGCCCATACACATTGTGGATGCCCCATCCCGGGAAGTGTTCAAGGCCAGGCTGGATGAGGTTTAACCCCAGCTGGCAACTAAGTACCAAGCAGCCCCTCCCTCACTCCCTACCCCCAGTGGGGAGAGGTGAATAATCAGGAAAGAAAAAAATTTATGGGTGTAGGTAAGAACAGTTTAATAATTTAAACAAAGCAAAATATAATTATAATAATTAAAATACAATACAATAATAAAAATTATTATTAATAAAAATTTTTAAAGGGTGGGAAAAAACAATACAATCACTCACCACCTGCTGACTGATCCTCAGCCCATCCCCCAGCAGTAATTAGTCCCTAGTGGCCAGTTTCCCCCTGTGGTATGGATGGCCGTTGACCAGTTTGGGTCACCTGTCCTGGCTTTTTGCCACAGTTTCTCACTGGCAGAGCATGAGGCACTGAAAAGTCCTTGGCTTAAGGGAAGCATTGCTCAGGAACAATCAGTGTGTCACAGCTGAAACAAGGACAGTAGGCACCTCTTACTCCATATAATTTATGTCATGCCAGGTCCCACACTTCCCAATGCACCATCACTTGCCTCCCTTTGAATTTGTATACACCAACAGATATTATTCCCATAGTCTGTGGACCATCCCCATAAAAGTCCATTGATTTCATTTAGTCTGTGACCTTGGGCTCCATTTGTCAGAACAGTGTTTCAGGCAGGAAAGGTGGAGTGTAGTGCTAGGACTCCATCAAAGTCCATTCTCCGTTAATGTGATGATGGAAGTGGTGATAACCAAAAGATGAGTCAAGTTCAGATCCCCAAATTCAGCCTGTCACAGACGGGCACCTCAGTGTGGTGATCGGCATGTAGCCACCACAGAAGGGGTAATTCACAGTGTTACATAGTAATTAACATCATACAGTTTAATTCATTGGCTTTGAGACACACACCGGACTTCTCCATCTTCCTGTACAACCCACCAAGTGCACCCAAATTTAGGTTGGGCAGGGCAGGCCTGACTGGCAGATCCCTGAGTGTTGAATAGCCAGGTGGCCTTTGCTAAATGTGCATCCCAATGTGTGAAGGTCCCCCCATTCATTGCCCTCAGCGTGGCCTTTAACCACCCACTGCAACCTTCGACCTTTCCAGAGGCTGGTGCGTGATAGGGAACATGATATCACTCACTGCCACGCTCTTTGGCCCAAGTGTCTGGGGTTGTTCTGGAAATGAGTCCCATTGTCTGACTCGATTCTTTCTGGGTCACTGTGTCTCCATAAGGCTTGTGTTCCAAGGCCCAGGATGGTGTCCTGGATGGTGTCCTGGAGCACAGAGGCAATTTCCAGCCACTGTTTCCAGTGGTTGCTCCCTCCACTGTGAGCACGTGGCACTTGCCTTGGTGGATTTGGGGTAGCGTGATGTGATCACACTGCCCATGCTCCCCGTATTTACATTTCAGTCATCACCCACCACACTGGAGAGGCTTCAGCCACTTGGCTTAATCACACCCCATGTTTCACATCCATGGATAACCTGTGCAATAGTGTCCAAGGTCAAGTGCACTCCTCCTAGACCCACCCAAATGTTGCATCAATGTGAGAGTAGCATATGTTCCTTAGAGGATTAAAAACAAGCAGGTCAAGATAGGAAGTCAAGTTATGCTGCAGGTCTGCCCCCTTATTCAGCACCCTTCTCATCTCAGTTTCACCCCTCAGTTCCTGCCCTGGACTGAAAGTGCAGACAAGACTTCTGTAAAATGCAGAAATACTGCAACTTTTGGGCTCAATGCTATGAATTAAAAAAAAAAAAAGTTTGAGGGAAAAACTGTTTGATAATGGACGTCTTTTTATTTCACCTGCTTTGCTTTGACAGGTTTCTGTGAGGATTTGCTTGTGCTGCATCAGGCACTGTGGCCCGTGGTTTCCTGTAGGTGGCAATATTAACAAAGATATGCATAAGTGGGATTTACTCTCCATCAAGACAGGAAGAATATGGATTTTGAACTAGTGTCCCTTCAGAAGATACTCGTCTAGTTATTTAAAAGTATACACTTGTTATTTCCCTTTTACCTAGACAAAGATTAAACATTTGAAATGGACATGTGAGCTCAGAATCCTTGTAACAATCCTTATCACAATTTCTGTGTCAACAGTGGATGGGAACCTTGACACTGAGCATTAGGGAGCTCTGAAGATACATGCAATCGATGAAGAAATTATTTAAAATGAGAATTCAGCACTGTTGGGAGGTAGATGGTTTGTTCTTTCAGATGTATAGCATGTAACTGCTGTAGCAAAAGCACAACCATAATTATTCCATTCTTAATGGAAAGAGAGGAAGCTCTGAAAGGTTATTTTGAAATGTGTTTTAACTTGGTGACAGTGACATGGGATCATGTGTAGTTCTCAACCTTCAGCCATGATGTAAATGTCTCAAAAGAAAACAGAAACATGTCTCTGCAGAAAACAGCTGTTCTTAAAAACTTGCCTGTGTGTACATCCAGTTCCCTGTGGGTGTTTAACAGAGCCTTTTGGCCAGAACTCCCTTTTGGGGCAGCAAAATATCCCTTTTTTGGGATATTTGTATGTGCTGTACTTGAGAGTAGGAGAGATGTTGTGGCTCCCTTGTTTCCTTCTCTGTAGCTGCAAATGTAGCTGTAGCAACAGATGTAGTGGAATGGAACAGAATACACTATTTCAGTTGGAAGGGACCTAAAACAATAATCCAGTTCAACTGCCTGATCACTTCAGGACTGACCAAGAGTTAAAGCACCATATTCAGGGCATTGTCCAAATGCCTCTTACTAATGACAGGTTTGGGACATCAACCACCTCTCTAGGAAGCCTGTTCCAGGGTTCAACCACCCTCTTGGTATAGAAGTGCTTCCCAGTGAAATGGGAGCAGGGAGTGACTAGAGGAATTATTCATAATAATTTTAGTTGATTCTCAGACTATTTGAAGACTTGGTAAGACTAGAAAATGAGAAAAAGTTGTGAGGGTTTGACCTGACAAGTATTAAACCACTTACAAGAATTTCTATGCTTTGTTAATTATCCTGCTTTGGTTCGAAGAACTTTCATTTTATTATCACTGTTGGTGATGTTATCCTTGTGGGGGTCTTTTATGTTTTTCTGACCTTATTTTTCTTCTGCTGAGCTTGGAAAAGCAGAAGAAATGTCCTACTTACAGTGGTAACAGAAAGAACTCTAAGTGTAACAACACCACTGCTCATCAATAACTGTGCAGCATTGTTTGTTTAGGTCATTTATAGAACACTAGAAAACCAATGGGTGAGGAGAAAACATCAAAATCTAGGTATTTTACAATTTTTCCTCTCTACATTTCTCAAGGACACTAAACTTGGATGATTCCTCAGGTAAGCCAGACTATGAAGCCTAGAAAGAGGCAGCTGCACAGACAGATGCTTGTGGTGCGCACTGTTCGGAAGAGATCTGCATTCCAAACTCTTTTGATAAGGCCTGATGTTCTCAAACTGCTGCCTAAGGTTGCCATGAAGCAGAATTACTTCCCTTGGGCTTTTAGAGAGGTTTCTACTAGTTCCAGAGTGATGAAGTTTTGGGGAGGGGAGGGGAAGTGAATCCCCTGTAAAGACCTGCTTTCCTAAAGTAATCAGGTTTTCTCTGTTGAGGTATAAGGCTCTTAAGAAATACTGAGGCATCATACCACTCCCATAAGAATCTCTTTATTTGTGTCCATTTTTATTTAGCACATTACAACTTCAGCATAGACATGGAGTAGATCTGTGTACCAGCATTTGCACATAAATGTTGTGAAGACACAAAGAGAAGCACTGATCTGCGGGGCCAGCCCAGTGGATTGCAGGAGTTGCAGGAAAGGATAACTTGCTGCAGAAATTCAGTCATTTCTACTTGCATCAAGGCAAAAAAGCAAGATCAAGTTCCGTTAACAACAGATTGTGTTTCTAATTCAAGTAGAAATCTGACAAAAGAGCACTAAATATACATGCTGGTAATATCAAGTTGTAAAGACAAGAAGTTGATTTAAAACCAGTTAAGTTCTGAGAGAGATGCAAGGGCCTGTTTTAGCAATTACCTAACACTTATCTAGAATGTTTTATCCCCATTAATAACAGTGGAAGAACTGTTGAATAGTATAAGAAATGAAAAGTCCTGTCTCTACTACAGATGCCATTAGGCTTGTAAAGTCTAAACTTTATCATACCTTTTAGATAACTAAGTTATGTAGTGCTTTGCACCAAAATCAAATATGAGTATTAAGTATCTTCATTTCTTTTTATCTATTTACTTCTTATTTCAAGAGTTTGTGAAACTAAATTACAATGGCCACTTGAGAGCTGATCATGTTTAAAACACAGGAATAGGATTTAGTAAGGCTTACAGAAAAGTTCAGTGGGTTTACAACAGAGGAAGATAAGACAAGAAATTAAACCAGTTAGATGGTGAGTCACTTCAGACTTTTTACATGTTTACATCTACAACTTTGCTGTAAACTTTATCCTCTTCAGCATATCCCCTCGTAACAAAAAGTTGTCTTGGAATGATTAGCTGTGATATTTTACATTTTTTCCTTCAAATGACAAACTGCATGATGTTCTACAGAACATGAGGTCCCGCAGGTCCTCTGGTTCCCTAACCAAGTTGGAAGCCCTAGGGGCTGTTTTCCAGCTTAAAGCTTAAAATGCTTTTTCTTAGAACACTTTTACATTCCTTCTTATAAAATATATCTCTCAAAGTTAAAACTGATCTGCTGAGTTGCACTGTGTGCTTCACTATTTTGCAGTTCTGGTTACACCAACTTCTTGCAAAAAGCCAAAAGTCTTCAAAAGTTTATTTTAAGATGGAATCTTTTGAATTCAAGGTCGTGGACTGTAAATCACTTTTTCTCATACTAAAAGCTTAAGCTTCCCTTCTGCATATTTTGTGAGTTAAGAAGTGCCATATCAATACTATAATGGCCAGTCTTCGTGAGCGAAGATCCGGGGAAGGTCTTTACACCTTCCAGCCTGCGCATTGGATTTTTTAGGTGAGACACAGTGTGCGCGGAACTGAGCCCACCCTTTAATCCTAAGGTTCATCTGCCGGGGCCAAGCGAGCTTGGACGGTGGCAGTGAGGTCCTTAGGACGTAGGTGGGTTGCCTTTAAGGGCTAACGAGCTCCACCTGCCCGGGAGTGGCCCTGACCGGGAATCGAACCCGGGTCATGGCGGTGACAGCGCCGCGCCTTTACCACTAGACCACCAGGGGCTCCTATATATCAATACAATACTATAGGCTTTAAAGAAACATCAGGATGGTCATGTGAACAGGGAGATTTCAGTAATTCACTCTGAATTTGTTGAAAAAAAACTGCACTGTGAAAGAGTAAATGCAGATGCAAATCTAAAAAATATATATATATATCTCTATTCTTTTACACTGATTGTAAAAAATCCCCTTATTCTCTTAACAACTTTGGTTGCAGTGTTACTGACTGGCCAGGAATATGTCAAGTAGCAATAAGAGCATCTGTATTCAAGCCGTTTCAGTGCTCATGAAAAGTTGTTCTTAGTACAGTCAGAAGAGACTGAAGATTTTCATAAGCAGAAAAACTCAGGGGGTTGTAGTCCATCCTATTAATAACGTATTTCTGAGGACTGACACCTAAGGCAGTTGACATTTTATTGGGAATTCAGGAAAAACTATTTTTAATGGTATCACTCCTTGGCAAAAGGTGGTTTGTGTTTTTTGAATGTGATCTGAAAAGGAGCTCTAATAACAATTTTAGAGGACAACTTTATGTCACAAGAATAGGCAAGGAGTTGTACTTCAGTCATCATGTGCTAATCTTTGCAACTTAATGCATCCATTCTAGCAAATTACTTCACACTAATATAAGCTTGATCACTTCAATGAAGTTATTCTTTCCTGTATTTAGTATTTATCCATTGAAGAACACACACACAACTGTGCCAAATACTGTGTTACAACAAAACATGCAGCGGTAAATAGTCTCTATAATCAGGTGCCTAGAACATGTAATTTCATAATTTACAGCTTTACTGGTGGCAAATACATCAATTATGCCATCTCTAACAAAAATTCCCTGTATATTTGAGAAGATCCGCTCAGATTAGTATTTTCCTAATAAAATAGCTTCGTGGTACCAGATGCACCACGAAGTGTTAGGAGTAATTTCATAGACAAATAGACAACTAAAGTGCAGAGCCTGAGGGATATATACTTTTTATTTACGTTACGGCAGAAAGAGGTTACTGAAAGATTTCTTCTGCATAAAGATGAATAAAATATTTTCATTAAGCTTCAGATGCTGCCCACTGCATTGCTTTTAAATAAAAATGCATACTCTCTATCAGACACAGCAAAGTAGTAAGTAAACTTACAACACATTCCTTTAATATATCAAAATGTTTCCAAGGCAATATTATTAAACTTATACCACAGTTCCCAGTAACATCAAGCTTCACAAAGGAGGCAGTAGGGAAACTTTATCCACTTTAAGTGCTCTTCTTTTCTTCACCCAGTAAGTTCACTGTTGCTTTCTTGGCTGTAGGAAAATAAAAGCAATTTTAATCATAGGCCTACAGACAAAGTGGCTATCCAGTATTCTTGAGCTGCATTAATAAGATAGTTTTTCTTTTAGGTCACAAAATATGGACTCTGAAGGAGACACAACACAAAAAAATCATAGCTTTTGTATACACATGCATACAGATGTAGTGATAAAAATGATCAGAAAAAGATTTTAAAAAATAAAACATAAGAAAAGAGCAGCACAATAAACATCATAGACTGACTTAGAACTATGGTACCGATAAAACAGAGCTGCTTGTAGTGTTAAAGACATACAGCAAGAAATTTAATATAATGACAAAACAGGGTTGGAATAAAGTTAGTGTATCTGTGTACATGCATATGTGTGCACATGATTTCTTGAAAAAAACCCAAAAGCCTGTATGTGGAAATCTTTATATTAAAAAAAAAAAAAAAAGAAAAAGAAAGATTAAGTGATGAAATGAGGACAGGAAAATCCCATGTGCAATGTGGAAGAACAATAATTAAGACACACGCCTAACAATGACAACTCAGGAAGAGCCATGCAGTAAAATTTCCAAGCATGGTTGGGAAAGGCAGATCATTTAAACAGACAGGAAAACTGTTTAAGTTCAAAAGATGAAATGAGACTGCATGCATTGTTTGGTGGAAAGAAGTCTTTAGGTGCTTTGAAATAGTACATAAATAAAATTCCTTTCAAATGAAATTGAAATAAACGTTTCTTTTAGCTTCTTAATACATTTCCTTTTCTTATTATTATTCCTTCTATTATTATTATTAATACTAATATTATTAAATTATCATCAGGCATTTTAGAGTACAAGGGTTCACTGTAGAATGCAAGTAAATAAAAGAAAAAATTTAAAAACCTACAGGCTGTGATAATAATTATTCTAACCAAGTAAAACCAAAGCAATTTCTTTAAAAGTGGGCTCAGTATTCTTTGATCTCCAGAGGTACGAAAAGTACAAAAATATATAGATGGGAAAGCTTCATTTCCCCTTTTCCTGCTTATTGGAGTTAATTGCTTTACTATACAGTTGGCAGCCCTTCTATACTACCAGGCATTTGAGGCAGTATTTTAGGACATAAAATAATACACTGAAACAATAACTGCATTTATGAAAGGTATCTTGTGAGGATGTTTGGAGCTGCCTCTAGAGAGAATATTTATAGTGGTACGTACAGTGGGAAGACACACAAACCGTACCATTTCTTCCACTCATTCTAGCCAGTAATATCCACTGCAATTCTCATTTCCTGGCATCTTCACCCAAATTTACTTTCTCCATTATAACTTACATAGTCATCTTACAATTTTTTTCCCTCTAAACAATGAATATTAACTGTAAATAATAAAATTCCCCAAGGAAATTATCCCTACTTGATGTGACTACTGAATGGTCTCCTGCTCACCTTCCTTAGTGATGGTGTCTGCAGTCTCTGCAGCCTTGTCTTTCAGGTCTTTAACAACACTGTCCAGTCGAGCCTCGTGCTTCAGGAAGAAAGGCCGGATAATCCGATGGTACAGGAATTCTGCTCCATTGGAAGGACTTGGAGCCATGCACCACAGCAAGAAGCCACACTGCAAGAGCAAGAGCAACTGCCTAAGTGGTAGAAACGAGTAGGATTCTCATTTCTGCTGCTCTGTAGGTGTCTGACTGCCACAGAATTGAGCACATTCAGAACAGCACCATCCCCTTCTTTCTGCACGGTCACAGTTCAGTAAGTGTGCACACAGTATAGTTACAGACAGGGAATCTTTACACTGGAATAATTTCATGGATAGTGACAGAATAAAGGAGGAGGGCTGTAGCAGTAAATCTAATCTGGTATCAGGTGTATCAAGACTGTATGCACTTATTTTTTTTTTCTTTTTTTTTTTTTAAGATAGAACGATAAAATCTGAACATTCCTAAAACATGTGGCACAGGCCTGACTGAAGGTCTTGGTCCCTAAGTCACTTAAATTCGACAAAACATATCCATAAAGGCAAAAAGTGACAGTATATCAATTTTCAAAAGCTTCTATTGTTTGGAACTTAATATAACAGGAAGAATATATGGTACTGACTTATGTTATCTTTCATTAAAAGCTGAGAAATATACTGATTTTATTTCCTGTTAAAGAATATCTGGTCAATTGCTCATAGTTATTCTACTTCTCCCAATACACAAAAAAGTTAGTTCTCCATTGTTATAGAAAAAATCCTCAGATGTGAGTCCAACTTCCTGTGAAATAAAAAGAAATTGAAATTTCCCTTTTCTTGTCTAAGAACAAAATTAGTAATTTGATTTTACAGCTTTGTCCCAGTCTAGTCAAGAAAAAAATCAATTACAGATTTGTTCTCAAGTACCTATTATTTTTGAAATGTACATCTGATTTGAAACACAAGCATGTATACATTTTCTAGAGGACTCACAACAAAGTTACAAATCTCAGTCTTTTCAAACCTTGAGAATGTCAGATTGCTAACTTAAATTTATTTTCCCCTTGTCTCTCATGAATCTGAACTAATATGGGCTATTAAAAAATAAAGAGGCTCGTAAGAAGGCCCAGAAAGCTCAGAGCGATACAACTGTTAACTGGAAAAAAGATCCACAAAATATGTTCTTGGGTTGTGACAGTCTTCTGTCTGTACAATCTTGGAGCTGGCCATGGCCACACTTGCTGTATTTCTCAGCAGCAGCTCTAGTGTCAAACCCAACTGTATTTCGTTTTGTGCTGCCAGGGCAAAAACAGCTGCTAGAAGCAGACCCAAGTGGGTTAGACTGAGCTCAAGTGATTGCCTAAGGAAGTCACTTTATTGCCTGAATTCCATTCCCTCCTCTGGCTGGTCTGGAGGGTTGCAAAGAACGTATTTTGTGGGGTTTTTTCCAGTTAACAGTTGTATTGCTCTGAGCTGAGTGCCTCATAGCACAGGTTTGCACAATGCGCCCAGCGTGACGTGTCTGCTACTAATTTTGTTCAGAAATAGCATTCTAGTATTTTGAGACAAAACTGCTGGTGGATTAAGAAGTCTCTCTTCCTCCCACCACCAAGAATATTCCTAGGATGATAAACTGCTGCTTTTACTGGCTACTGTGCTTTAATACCTGAATACCACAGAAAGGTTGAAACTATTAACAGAAGCATTTAAAAGCAAATCACATACACATGAAATCATTAGTTGCATGCATGTCCTCTGCTTCAGAGAAAAACAAAAACAAACAAACAAACAAAACCACATAAATAAAGGGTGGGCATTACCAAAAAAAAAAAAAAAGCCCACAAAATCCAAGAAATCTCCAAATCATTTTTAAGTGGAGAACAAAAGTATATACAAATATCACAACATATTTAAAGGAGTTCTTTAACATGCCTTTCTCCCATCTATAAAATCTGGTGTGCTGAAAACTTTAAGGTGTAAGGAAGGTGTTTAGAAATGCTGAGCAACTAAAACTCAGTCTGGAGTGGAAGCTGCAAGCTGTATCAAATAAATGTGAATATTCAAATTTAGCACATTTTGAAAATGAAAGCAAGCCCAAAATTTTCATGAATGATGTATCTGGTTTTCTACTTCATGAAAGAGACATGGAGACATCATAAGCTGCACTACAGGAGTTCGTGGACGGACTGAAATGTGGAAACCCCCTGCTTCCTCCTTTTCCCCATGTGGAGTAAGTTCCATCCTTCCACCCAGTCAGCAATGCTTTCTGATTCTCAGCCAACACCTGGTTGCTTTTGTATAACAAAAGCAAACCTCTCCTACTAATCTCTACTGAGAATAAATACTTGACTTCTATTGTGCCTTCTGCAGCTATGGTAATTACACAGAAAGCTGAGTAACTACATAACTGCTTTCTTATGTTTGCTCTTGCAGAACTGAGAAAAAGTACCTTCCTCATAATTCAACAGGACATGTAAATGTGGCACTTCTGATACAGTTTTATCAGAGTCATCTGTGGTTTTTATTTGCTGGGTCAACCTGAATTTCAATGGCGTGCTCTTCAGAAAGAGAGCTGTGGTGGCAGGAAGAAATCATTGCCATATCTTTTACTGCCAAGAAGTTAGAAAAGAAGCTCTGAAAATGCACTCTGTGAGTTCAGATTTGTGAGTATACACCAATGCAGACAATAGGTTAAAGTCATAATCCTGCTAAACTCTAAGGTGAAGCTGGGCATGTGAAATAAGCATGTAAGTGGTTAAGAAGAGATTCTTCCAGTGCCATAAGCAATCCTTCTGGATCCTATTCAGACCAGAAGAGCCTGTAGTTTGATCACTACTTGGCTTGGTCTTAAAATATTAAACCAGTAAAACTTTCACATGTTACCCACACTAAACTTCAACATTAGCAGATTCTTCTTAAAAACTTTTCCATTTCAAGCCTTATCGTTTTGCAAATGCATTTTAATTTTTTATTAAGGGAAAAAATAAAGGGGCAGGGGGAAGAGAGAACTAACTTTGTAAGGCAGACCAGAATACTATTTGAAGCAGTAGTATAAATATGTGCTTCTTCTTAGCGAGCTAAGGAAATAAGTTCCAAATGATTGTCACAGTTGAGGTCTGTTAAAGATTCAAATGGAACAATGCAGAGGTGTAACCAAGCTGACCAAGTCAATTTTTGCCTATATAATATGACATTTCCTGGAAAAGCCTTTAAGTATCATCAGATCTTACCATTAAAATTTAAAATGACCCCACTACAATAGCAGGCAAGCCAACCCTTTCAAAAATTCAATGGGACTAAACCAGGCTAACAAAACAAAAGGGAAGGAAGAGAACAACCCACTAAACCAGGAAATAGGTAACAGCTCTTTAAGCTAAACAGTGGACTTTCCAGCAAGCTAGAATGTCTTCTACCCACCAGCACACATACAACATCTCATACATACAACAGCTATCTCTCAGAATAATTTAACATACTAAAGTTGATTGACACTGTAGTTCACAAACAAAGCTTGGAGCACATTAACCAAATCATTGGTGGTAGTCAAACCACACTAACAAATGCACATTAGCAATAAGCTCCTTTGATACCTACCAATTCCTTTCAGGACTCAAACTATTCTTGTGGTGCAATTTCCTTCTTTTCTCCCAATAGCACAGATGTTAATACCTCCTTTTGCTGCCTTTGTGATTTTACTCTTCACATTTACTAATGCACGTCAAGCAAAAGTAGAGCCACTCTATTGGGTTTACCATGTGCTTTCAGTTTGTCCACATTCACCTGAACACCAAGAGCTGTCTTTGGGGTTTTTCTTTATGGAACAGTTACACTCTGTTTTTTTCTAAAACATGGCAGACTTTTCCCTGCCACCCATCCCAATTTCCCCCTCTTGCCTCACAATACCATCAACTGTAAACAGATATCTTTCATAGTACTAAATTACACATAACCAGCATCTAAAAATAAGGTATGACCCTAGAATGATTCCCCATGAATCTGCTGTCATCTATCCATCCTTGGAGATGTTAAATCAAAGGTCTCATTTTTCAGGAGAGGGGTCACATGAACTAACATACCTTCATCATGTAGTAGAAAGGGAACCAGGACAGAAAGATATCAGAGAAGAATTCAGCTATACTGAAAACGCCATACACAACCCAGTAAGTCAGCCACTGTGTGTCATCATCTTTGTTGGGACTTTCAATGGCCTTGATTCTGCAAGGAAAAAAACAAACAAACAAACAAGTGAGCAGAACAGTAGTATCTATAATGGTGAAGTTTTTATGACTCAGATTTGTTTTTATATGTGAATCCTCATAATTTAATTACCCTAAGAAAACTAGTTGGTATCTATCATACAGACAATGTGCCCAGATCTTCGAGCAGGCAAGCTTCTCCCTACGTCACACTTCAAAAAGAAAAGATACTCAAGCTGTGGGAGTATGATCACAACACCTGCCTGGCCTTGCCTGTAACTAATTCACCCTCCTTCTCTGACAGTCAGAAAGGAATGATGAATAGGGTTGTTGCCTTGAATGAAAAATCCTACAATAGCTTAAATTTTCAAAATGGGGTAACCTTGCCTACAGAAGAGGTCTGCACAGTGTGCACCCTCTGGTGCTGCACAACTTGGGGTTCCCAGCATATCTATCCCAGACAGGGATAAAAGACTGTCTTCACTATTCTGTCATTTTTTACAAAGTTAGCTCTAGTAAATAGCATTTTAAATTTTATTCATATGTACATACACTAGATTCCTCTTTGAAAAGGTAAACTTACCCATAAGTTTTGTTTCTCTCCTATGTAAGGAGAGGAGATCAAGGACTACTTATCTGCATCACTTATCTGCATCACCAATTGTTTTGATCTAAAAATTAATTCCTACAGGACTTGCAAACTCTGATGAGGATTACGGTACTAAGAACAGAGTGAAGCAACCTCCAGTAAAGTATTGGGCTTCCTGCAGAATGATTTAATGGGCTTTTGTTCTCCAGCTGCTAGGACAACGCAGTTCAAGTTTATACACTTCTGAAAATTGGGAGCTGAAAGATGCACTTGTGCTCCATCAGTAAAAGTAGTGAAGTGGAGACTCTGGACTCACTAAATTCCAGATTAGCACTGTAAGAAGTTTTAAAAGGAAATGCTAGCAAATCTAAGCCTGATAATGTGACGCTTAAGAATATTAAAAAGCATTTGTCCTCTCCAGTCATGCCATAGGATTAAAATCTGTAGCCTTATTTTAATGAATTTAGTTTCAATTCTTCCATCACTTATTCCTTTAATATCAGATATTTTGTTGCTATGAAGCAGCACCTATGGGATATATTAGAAGTGTAAAGTTTTCTGCTAGTTCTCTAAAAAAGCTTGAGAGTCAGGGAGGTTTACAAAACAGAGATCAAAGAGTTCACTGTAAATCCATTTCCTGATTTGTGAATTAAGAAACGCTGTGGATTCCGTCGCTTCCTGGTTCTGGAAATAACTGGTGAGGGAGGGGAACCTGGGGGAAATCATTCATGTGACATGTCTTATGTTATGGCAACATCACTGGCAGACTCACCACGTGCAGAGGGAACTGATACAGCTACAGGATTGAGTTACTTTGAAATGCAACACGAGGATCTGATACTGAACTTATACATTATTTCTGTTCGGGTTTGTGGGTGGTCAGCAGTGCCCAGCAGTGGGAAAAGCAGCAGCCCCTGCCATGCCCCATCGTGCACAATAAGGTGATCTTACTGAGGTACAGCACAAGCACGACTGGAAGAACAGGTTTTCCTAATAGGAAACACTCAGTGTTAGGCAACAGGAGTCCAAGGCATTCTGCTCAAAGACAGTGCCAACTTCAGCTGCTCCTGCTCCCACTATAAAATATGCCCACTCACCTCTGAAGTACTCTACTAACACTAGGTGAGGGGGCTGTACAAAAAACCCCACCCTGAAACACCACAGGAATTAAGGAAGAGGAATATTGATCTGTTTCCAAGGTGTGAAACTGTACTTCTGGAGGGAAAGGAAAAGTACAAGGACTAGTAAGGATATTAAAGAGTGGTGGATAAACAGAGTAGAGAAAGGAACTAATTGCAAAGTTTCTCAGTACTGAAGAAAACATGCTGTAGAGATTCACCATATAAGTTTCTTTAATTCTGCTGACAATTTCTCCATTAAAGGCATACAGAAAAAGGCTTATTTTACCACACTAAGCATGGCTAGCTTGATGTTTCTGAGAAAATGCTTTGCAGTGAAACTGCCAACAGTCTTGTGCTTTTCTAGTCACCACCTAAAGCCATAGATGGATATAAGGGAGCATTGTTTAATTTTTTTAACATTATTAAAGTCATCTCAGTAGTCATGAAAATCATTTTTCATAAAAAGAAAAAGCTCAGAATCTCCAATTTTGTGGCAAAGGGCAGATGGCATATCACTGTTAATGGCCCACACTCGTTTATCTGTATCCTGTTGTAGAAACAAATGGCCTTTTAGAGTTCCTAAATGCATGCCAGAGGTGTGCTCCCTTTGAATGTTCGCCATCTGCTGCTGTAGTTTCCTTAAGGGAATGCAAGAACAACATGCTTTTATTGTAAGAGAGTCACAAGCAGCGGTACTACAAGTAGGCAAGACCCCATGTGATTTAGCTAGCCGATGCAGCTAGTAGGTTGTTTTCCTGCATACTGTAATGAACTGCACATTTCCCCTCCTTGTAAAATGTTCTGATAGAGGTAGGCACCAGGTCAGGTGCAGACCCCTACCACACCCACCTAACAGTTACCTAACAGTCACATCAGCTCAAGCTGCACCCGGTACATATGTCTCCAGTGCCAATCAGGGAGAGAGGGAGGAAGAAAAAGTAGATACAGCAGAATGTCAGTGAATAAAACTTTTAGCTGAAGTCAAGGAACAGCAAGTATTTTATAAATATGCTGCTTCTGAATGGAAAATATGTCCCTCAGATGAGACAGTCAGTAGAAATACAGTGTAATGTGTCCCTGTTAACTTTTGTCCTTTTATTTATCTCCATCCCTTCCTGCTTATACACTATTTCAACAGTAAGTCACAGAAAATAGTACTTGTCCAAGAGCAAGCACAGATATCTCATGCTGATATATTCTGTAGAATATCGGAATATATGATGTGGAATATCTGAACAGATAGGATGTTTTATCCATTTATAGCTACACTCTTTTGAACATGAGAATCACACCATAATTAAACTTATTTTTTAAAGTTATTCTACAGGTATTATCCTGGTGTAATGTCCTGTACAATTAACCTTAGGAAAGACATCATATATATTACTTCAAGCCAAGAACATTTTCTTCTTCTCCATTTTAAGTTATGAATCAATCAGCCTGATATTCAAAATGCAATCTCCCTCAGTAAGTGAAAAGAGTCAATCTCATTAGCATATAACGTTAAGACTTCCTAACAAATGAAGGGCCATCCAAAGCCTATATAGCTTCAAATTTAAAAAGAAAAGTGATACTGTAATTTTTAAAAAGTTTTGTCTAACGCTGACTTGACTAAATTCCATGTTACTCATGTGCAGTAATTACATATCACAAAGGATTTTTTTATAGTGCTTACACACTAACTGTAGAGGAATTAAAGCTCCAAACAACTGTTTACAGTAGTTCTGCACACTGGAGGTAAGAGCAGTCACCAGGAACAGCTTCTAGTATACTGGGTGGTAAATATCACAGCTCAGTCATTTTAAAAACAGATGCCTGTCCAACAGTGAAAAGGGCCTGCCATGGGCCAGCACTGCAACTTGTGCAGACAGGTGGAGAGATAAGAAAAGCTTATTTTTCAGCCAGATCTGTTCCCTGATAACCCCTCTAGCTGACAGTGCCAACGAGGAAGAAAGAGCAGGGACTGTCATGTTCTAAAGTAGCCCAGGGCTTCCAGCCACTATGTAGCTACAGTATCAGAGCACAGGCTCAGTTCTGACCTTGAGCATCTTAGAATCAGTCAAACTCGGGGCTAGACCAAGTGTGGTTACTTTATCCTGTTACATGATAGTAACACAAACTGGTCTAATTTTAGTAAGCTGACAAGTTAAGTTCTTTCACTTAAAGCATCTGACTCATTTCAACAAAAAAAATCAACTCTTTTCCAAGAAGACAGTGTTAGTCCTGAACTAGCTCTGGCATAACATATCATTGCTTACAGTTAATTCATACACATAGTACTCACAGGCTAAGTAATGAGTTTGGGGTGGAGGGTTTTATTGAGCTGAGCCCAGATATGGGAGGCAGAAATAAAGAAATGCCAAACTGTATTGCTGTAATCTCACGTGTATTAACCACTCTTACGCCTGCAATTTAAAAGGTCTACCTGGTGACTCTTGTATAAAGTCAGCCAATAAGCTTGAGACAAAAGATCAGCCTTCCTTAAACCCTGTGCTCATGTTGTAGCTGGGAAAGACTGGACCATTTTCCTTCAGTTTTCTAATCAGTGCTGTACTGAATGAGTAGCCAGACATATTTATCACTCTTTTAGCCAAACATAAACTTTGGGGGTTTTTTTGCATTTAACTTAAAAAAACCCTGAAACTACCTACACTCCTAGAGTTTATACTTAGTGGTCTGCCCCACCTCTTTAGAGTAGGTTATAAAATAATTTATTTCTAGCTATCTCCCCAGACACCCCCACAGAGTCAACACTCCACTGCACCACAGCCTGGTGCCTCCCTGTCATCCTCATTCCAGACTTCTCTTGGCAGGATGCCTCTGTGACATCTCACATCGTTTCAGTGACACAAATACCTGTGTATTTGGATTCGCTTTATCGTTTTGGCTTCTACATTTTTATCCATCAGCTAAAAGTCTTCTATTTTCCATCTTTCCTCCTCCTCCCCAGTGTCTGCCATAGCAGAGCCATGCACTTACAGATACCGAAAAGGTCTTCCTGCCAAAGGCACTCAACACAGCTGCTGCAGTTTAAGTCTACCAGTTCCCTTCTCTCAAAATTTCGTGTACCTAGCAGATGGCAGCAGGCAAATTAATGAAGGAGAGCAAGGGGAGGCTTCACTGTCCGTGCAAGGACAGACATAATATAATTACAGTACACCAACAAATTACATGACAGTAATAGAAGTTTCTTTCTCTATTTCAAAATAGACTGCGGCAGTGAAAGGACCACATGTGATTTTGCCCACCAGTGAAGTGAGTCCCACAGTCTACCTGTTAACTCAGCACAAAACCAGATTCCTGGAGGGGAAAAAAAAAAAAAAAAAAAAAGCATCAATACTTTTATTTCACTGTTTTCTGTTCATTCTTGGCCTCCTTTCTCCTGGAATGAGTATCTCTAGGGCCAACCAACGAGCCAGCTCCCCCGCTCTGACTCAAGTCAAAACCAGCTTCCCCAAAACACATTCCCACACACATGCTGGCTCTATTGCTGGGATTCAAATGTGTCAGTGCCTCAATTCAGAGTGGATTCATCAGTATAACACACATCTTTAAATTTTTAGCCTAAATTTAGATATGGAAGAAAAATTCAAATCTTCCTACAGCTATCATAATATTAGACTCTCTGCACCTAACCACTTGCTATCATTAGAAAAGGAAGCAAATAATTTGTCCAAACAACAGCTAAGACAGCTTTTATTTCAAACAAAGCACTCTCAAACCTAAAAGACAAAAAGCGAGTATGCTTGGAGGAACTGATTTGGCAGAATATTTGACAAAAAAGTCAAATTATACTTTATTTAATGTCTGAAGCCCCACACAAAGATTATCAGTCATTAAAGAAAACAGCACATGTGCAGGGGATTTGGAAATTTTCTGCTTATATTGACACTGAGAGTTGTGAATCTGGTTAGATACACCAGCTCTCTCAAATCACGTTTATAAAGCAGCAGCAGAGCTTTACTTCTGAACTTTAGCATATCATGCATCATTTTTCATGAAGGAAAAAAGTAAGCATTTGCTGCAAAACTTGTCAAAAGAAAGCAAATTTGCTGCCCTGGCTCTCAACAAACGCAGGACTGATTTTATGTTTTCTAAATAACTGCAACCAAAGAAAAGCAGTGTTCCTGTTTTAAAGGTATGAAAGAAGCAGAGTAACTAGGAGACAGACTCAAGACACCACAACAATATTCAAATTAAGACTTGAATTGAGTGTTTACACTTCTATACAATCAATGTAGATTGTTTCCTGATTATAAAATGCCACGAACCACATTTTTGTAGCAAAAACAGCTAAAGTGAAGTAACAGCATAAAATTAGCCAATGCAAAGAGAGGCATGATTGTACTACACTGCTTTTGTCCCTTGAAGACACTAGTAATAAGTTCAGACATTTCACTGCCCAAAGCTATTTTCAACTTTGCAATTTTTAAACGAACCGTGGCAGCACTTACAAAACTTCCAAACCTTTGCACGCATTTCTTAGTCATCAAAGGCTCCCTTCCTGCTTGCCCTCTAATTTTTCTGAGGCAGTTAACCACCACTAGCTATGGGTGGAGCTACATTTAAACACGCTAGCTATGGAAAGTTTAGAGAAGCAGTGAAAACGCTGGCAATGGTGTTTACCTATTTGCCAACACTCACTTTTTCCATCTACTAGCCAGATTATTGCCTGGTGCAGAAGTATTGCTCACTAGAAGTATAAAAAGTTGCTTCTATCATCTGTGGTAAACTTTTCAATGCTGGTCTACTTTTCTGCTTTTGGAGACTAAAACTTTTCAATTTTGTTCCACAAGAGCCTGAAAAACAAATATTAGATTTTAACTTAAAAGGAATTATTCTGTTTCATCACACAGAACTTGCAGAAAATTTTAAGGAATGAGATTAGAGACTGTCTGACTTACTGAGAAACAGTCAGAAAACTCTGGCTTAATTTTGCCTGCGCCACTCAGGTGGGCCCTTGCTGTGACATGCCACAGACTCTGTATTGCTAAAGAAGAAACTCTTCTACGGATAAAACCACTTAAGTCTTACACAAAGAAAGGCTGAAGGTGACCAAGGGGGAATGAAGAGGGAAACAACTGTGCCTGCCAGAGCCTGTATCGGGCAGTAAGCAAGGAGTTGCCCCCTCCCCTCACACTGGCTTTGTGCCACAGGGATGTGAATGTGGGCAGCAGTGCAGCTGCAGCTGTGCCCCTTCACACCATCTGCTGTCTAACCCAGCAGCCACAGCCTCCAGCATTTCTCCACTGAATTCCTCACCTGCTGCATGGCACACACTGACAATGAATACAGAGAATGACATAAACCAAAGAAAATAAACTGCAATTACACAAGGCCTGACAGGCAGGGACCTGCACACCCACAAAACTGTCCTGGTTTCACGTGTGAACAGACAGAAATAAGAGCTGAGTATCCTTCTCGGGGTTTGTTTTGTTTCCAGTATATTTTCTTTCAGGCAGGTGTAGAGATGAACAGTCACTACCATGACCAAGGTAACCCAGAACTGAATTCCCAGTAAAAAAAGATTTGGACCATGCCAGTGGGTCACCCCGGAAGCCTGTTTCCCATTTTAAACAACAGTGAGGACAGGAGGTGATGTCTCTTGCAGAACAGAGACATCTGTCTCACTCCTTTACATTCCTTTACTCCTTTCTGCTGAACAGAAACTGGACCCAGTACTTTGGCCCTGCCCATGGCAGGTGGGCTGGAACTAGATGACCTTTAAGGTTCCTTCCAACCCAAACCATTCTACGATTCATCATTTCCCAATTTAAACAATTCAGTCACTGACAATGGAGAAATGATACACTGACCTACTTCACAACAGAGGAAAGTAAGTTATCTGGGGAAAAGTAATCTGCTTTTTCTCTTTCAGTATCTTTCTGAGACATTTCAGGCTTTGGTCCATTGTTGAAACACCTGTGTAAACATCAGACTAACACCCTGCACAACACATTCCATTTACAGCTTCTGACCTTGTCCAGAAGCCACAGCTTTTACCGCAGGAGGCATTTGAGGGGGTGTATGCAGCTGATAAAAACAGCTGAAAACTGTTTTCTGTCCAATACTAGGAAGCAAAATCACCACTGTTAGTTCATACAGTAGGCTCTTCAGCTGCCTTTTCAAGGGGGACAGGCCAAATAGGAGCCAGAAATAAGCAAATCACTGTGGCCAGTGCTATTTATGCTTTGGGTCTCTATGCCTTATAAGCCCAGGGGACAGCACCCTGACTGCAGTACACAATCCAGAGCAGCAAAACCAAAAGCAGGCAGAGTAAAATGTGGGAAAACACTCTGTACCAGCTCTGGATTTGGGAGGGAAGGGCTGGGGAGGGGGTTAAGCCCACCTGTGCTGTCAGCAGGCGGCTCCATGGGCTGGAACCCGTCTGCAGGCTGCCACTGAAGGACACTGGCATGCAGCATGCAATATGCATTTTAAATTAGATTTTCACTCAAGATTATAAGTTTCTCATAAATATTTCAGCGCTAAAAAGGCAGCTGAAGGAAAAGCATTACCTGAGCATGAGTCGGAAAAAAACCCCCAGATATTGTATCCACGTGTGTGTTATTCAGCATATTATTTTGTTTAAGTAAAATAAATTTGTAGCCAAAGACAATTATCCCATTATTAAAAAAAAAAAAAAAAAAAAGTTAAAAAACAAACACCCCACAATACTAACATCTGGGAGGTAACTTTTCACATTAAGACACATTTAAAACCATGCTCCAACATGAAAAAGAGCAGACATTCCACAAAAGGATTTTTTAAAAATTCCCAGACTTGAAAGAAAAAAATTGGAAGAGAAACCCTATTAATTCATATTTAATTTGCTACTATCTTGTTTCTGCAATTCTAGGAGCTTGTTTTATCAATTTACTCATCATCACTGCTTAGTGGATGATTTAAGATATAATCCTGAACTAGTTTCAAAAGAAGTTTAAAAATTTAAATAGGATTTTCCAAAGTAATTACTTAATTTGAAAAGTGACCTGACTCAGACACAAAATATTACATAAGAGTAATTCCTACACAACTATTTTAAGGTTTCTAAGCTTTGTTGTCTGATATTTTAACTTTCAGATTTTATTGAAAGAAATACTTTTTGACCAATATTTTCACTAAAAATTACTTTTTAGAAAACAAAACTTAAGTTGCTCCACAGTTCTTGGTCTACAATCTCCTAAATCAGTGAACACTAGAAACAGTATATATAAAACTGTTGGTTGGTTTTAAGCATCACAACCATAAGCTGTAACTCTAAAACTAAGTCAGTCTCTCACATCACTGAAAAATAAAAGTGAAGGAACCAGGATTTGAAGTGCCCAGGCTCCAATTACAGAGAATGTATTTTTAAAAGCTGCTGACTGTATTTAAATAGTTACATAAAAAGCAAGCACTGTATTTGAACAATACAGAAGTACAGCTGCGAAGGACTTCCATTTTATGAGTGTATTAGGTTACACACAAAAGGTTTTATTTAGCACATTTATGCAGTCTTTTGGAACATACTCCACTGTGGTCTTACTCAACAGGAAAGACGTTTTGGTCTAAGAACAGTAAAATGCATGTGAATGATTAACACGTTTTGTTTTGAAAAATATCTAAGGAGACCTTCCTTTGAAAAATGAAGCATTTTAAGGTGTTTTACACTCCAGAGGAGTTACAGTCTTTTCCTTTCCCCTTCCTCCCCATCAGCTAGGTGGGTTCGGAGTAAATAGCAGTCCTTAATGCACCTCTGACCCCAGCCCGCTACATCACCTGGTACTTTGTATCAACAGATGCTTGCACTGCACCAGTACCTTCCAGGACACCCGGGAGTGTCCTCAACTCTAAAACATCAGTGCGAGTTTTAGAAAACAGCGTTGCTACAGCGATTCTCCCTCCTATCACCAGCAGCCAGGTAAGACCCAGCTTACCTGAAGATCTACCTCACCCTGGAGAAGACAAAGCTATGAACACAAACCTAAAATATGACGCACTATGGGATCTGTTTATCAAGCGTGGAAACTACCCAGCATCTCACATCTGTCATTTAGGATGCAGCCCTCGGCAGACGGAAGAAGCGGAAGAAGCCTCGTCCTTTACTCAGCACCTTGCACCTGGACATCCCAAGGGAAAGGGGGTGGGCGGGAAAAACAACCCTTCGGTGCACGGCCCCGGGGATGCCACCCTGGCAGACTCGGCACCAGCCACGAGGTATGCCGTTTCTGAGTTTGCAACACGCGGCAAACAAGGGCAGGAGTCGCGACACTCACGACACGTAGGCGGGGTAGCCGAAGCCGATGATGTTGCAGAGCAGGGACGCGCCGTATCCCACGACCAGGTACACAGCCACGGCGCCGAGGATGCCTGAGGAGAGAGCAGAGAGCCGTCAGCTCCCGGGGTGGGGGAGAGCGGGGCGCGGGCAGGGCGCGGCCGGGGGGACCCGCCGGGGCTCACCGGTGGCGATGTAGGTGCGGCTGACGCCGGTCTTGGCCTCGATGCGCTCGAGCACGGCGGTCATGCAGTTCTTCTCGTGCAGGAAGCGGTCGAACCTCTGCCGCATCGCCGCGGCCATGGCTGTGCAGGAGGTGGTGGTGGCGCCGCTCGTCCGCCCGCCCTCAGCCGCAGCCCCGCTGCTCCCCGCGGCCCAGCGCAGGCGCCGCCCCGGCCCCGGCCCCCGCCGCCCGTCCCTGTGGCGCCGCGCCCGGGGGCGGTGGCGAGCGCCGGGGAACCATCTTCCGCCTGCTGCGAGCCCGCTCCGAGCGCGAAATGGAGTCTGGGGGCACCGCCCCGCCCGGGCGAAGCGGGACCCTCACCCGCCGTCACCGCGGGGAGTGCGGGGCGCCGGCCGCGCTGATGTGCGCGGCGAGGCTGAGGGGAACCGGTGTCTCCTCCCGGCTTCCTGCGCTCCTCGCACCGGCAGGGACCGATTTTTAATGTTAAACGGGCGGCCTGGAACATAGATCCCTGCAAGGAAGGTGCTCCTTGTTCAAGTGGTCAGGTAGAGAGTGCCCTGTGTGAAAGATGGCAAGGAGGAGGAGGGCACGTATGCAGCCAGCTCCAGCCCCCTAAAATGGCTCAAAGCGTTAAAAAACCAAACCAAACCAAACCAACAAAAAACCACAACTAAGAAACAATAACAAAAGACACTCCTCTTCCCGCCCCCCACCCCCCCGATCCCAGTACATCACACCATTGATTTCAGATGCGATTATCAAAACTCAAAAACGGATTTTAGGCACCAACATGATGTAGAGGAGAGGCTACAATAGCATTGCACGGCTTCCCCGAAAGGTGTGGGTGTGGATGGGAGGGTGTGTGTGTGTGTGTGTGAGACTGATCTGAGGGCAGCAGCTCCCCGCTGTAACCGTACCCTGGAATTTATGGTGTGTGTGCAATGTTCTTGCTAACTAAATATAATTTACTGCCTGTGATGTAGTCCTGGAAACTTCCCCTGCTGGGCTGAGTCTTCCCAGCAACTCCTCTGCATCTGACTCAGCATTACAACTAGTGCTGAGGCTCTCCATGCCTTCTTCAAATCTGTATTGCCTCCTAAGTATGCCAGAAAATACTAATCAGTCTTCTAAAGATACTTTTTTTGTATGCGTCTTATCTTCATCTAAGAAAAAAAATAAATATAAGCAGAGCATTGTGCTATGGAGCTGTCAGTGTTTTGGGGGAAGGCATCTTGCAAAGAATTTAAATTTAACTGCTGAAATACCTTTTATTCTTTCCAGTAACTGTCTTATTAAAGGCAGAGGTGAGGAGAAGAGGGAGAATAATATCTAGTCCATAACCCCATTATAAGGTTTGTCCTGTAATTTTAACTTTTTTGGCTGTTGTTGTCGATAAAAGGTTTCATCTTGCTTAGTAGATTCATAAAACACAGTTACAAGAGATCTCTGGAGGTTACATACTCCAGTCTTCTGCTCAAAGTATGGCTAATGCCAAAGCTAGACTGTGGTGTTCAGGGTTTGGACTGCTGGGGTCTGAAAACATTCACAGATGGAAACTGGGCAGCCTCCTCAGACAGGCCATTGCTGTGCTCAGCTGCAATCAAAGAGATTTCTTTCCTTGTGTTTAGAATTGGTATTTCCTTTGATGTCACATGTGACTATTTCATCTTGTCTTTTGCCCTTATTTTCCGTACTTCTGAGGGTTTAGTTCACATTAACCTCCAAACAGACAGCTGAAGGTAGCAATCAATGTCCCCACTTAGCTTTCACCTCTGAGAACAAGCACAACAATCCCAGATCCCTGACCCTCCTCCTATGCCATGTGTTCCAGGCCTATTCTTTTCCTTTCTTTGTTTGCTGTATCCATATGATATGTCTTGGATTTTACAGAGAACAGGGAGGACTGTTGGGACAGGTGTTACATAACATGGAGCAATTGCACCCTTAGACCACATGCAGAATGACAGGCTGCCTATCCCGCCCACTGAGGGTTGTGCTCTGAAACAAACTAACAGAAAACATCATATTACTGGGTTCTTTCCTTTTCATTGTCCTCTATTCTTCATTTTTCCTTTTGGTACCCTATTTTTTTCTCTACATTTATTTTCCAGTTAATGCAAATTAGTATCTTTGCTTCTCCACTTTTGTGTTTTAAGCTATTGAGGACCAGACTGGACTAGGGCCTAAATGTGAAATGTGCTCACTTCTTTATCTGTCTTCAACACTGTATGTCTTTCCACCCTGAGCTGTGATCCACTCCTATCATCCATGCAAAGTTAACAGTTAGCTTCTGCCTTTAGCACAGGTGTATACTTTTTAGACTCATAGAATGGTTTAGGTTGGAAGGGACCTAAAGATCAATCAGTTTCAACCCCCCTGTCATGGGCAGGGACATCTTCCGGCAGACCAGGTTGCTCAAAGACCTACCCAGCCTGACCTTGGACGCTTCTGGGGACGGGGCCTCTACAGCTTGTCTGGTCAACCTGTTCCAGTGCCTCTCCACCCTCACAGCAAAGAATTTTTTCCTAATGTCTAATCTAAACCTACTCTCAGTTTGAAACCATTCCCCCTTGTCCTGCCATTACATTCCTTTGCAAAAAGTCTTTTCCCATCTTTCCTGTAGCCCGCTCTTGGAAGGTGCTATAAGGCCTCCCTGGAGCCTTCTCTTCTCCATGCTGAACTGCCCCAATTTGCTCAGTCCATCTCCATAGGAAAGATGTTTGAGCCTCTGCCCTCGTGGTCCTCTGGGCTCATTCCAGCAGGTCCCCATCCTTCCTATGCTGGTGGCCCCGGAGTTGGACTTCCTCCAACCATCTGCTTGGTGATCACACCCAAAGGATGTGTGTGTTACTTGGATCAGCTGGTTAAGCCTGTTTGAGTTCAGTGTTGCCTTAAGTAAGCCTTGTCTCGACTTACAGCATGTACTGTGCTTTACTGCATACTTGTATGTACACAACAGTATACACATCACTGCTGTTAAATTAATGATCACCTGCAAAGTCTTAAAGAAGAAATTATTTGAGTAAAGTAATGCATTGTTAGGAAAAGCCTAATACAGATTATTAGTACAGGCCCATCATTGCTCTCTACACATAAACTAACCATGTGATCACTGACTTATCTTTTTTCTATGTCTTTCCTATCTTCTTTCCAACCTCTCCAGGGTTTAGGTACCATACTTCTTCCAAATCTTCTACTGAATGCGTCTTGTTAATTATTGTAATGTCTTGTGCATCACCACACATGTGGCCCTTTCTGTGGTGCTTCTCATTTAATAAAAACCCTGCCAGATTATTTTCAGATCTTTGTGGTTCTTTCTCCTCAACAGTCAGGGAACTGAGATAAACATGGATTTAAGCCTAAATTTACATTAACTTTGTGTGAGCAATTTATTGTGACCGAAACCTTGCTTCAAAATATTTTAACTATTTATGTTTCTCAGCATGAGTTATATAATAATGGTTATATAGCATATCCAACATCTCCTGGAATATAGGTCTGTCAGCTCTTCCACTTACCTCTTTTCCCATGTAACACACAGAGCAAAGCGAGTAGTTGTCTCCTTGTATGCAAATTTTACCCAAAATACCAATTTGCAGGAACTGGGGCTGCTAAGCTCACATTGCTTATGGAAGTTAGTGCTTTTCAGTCCACTTCCCTGCTTAGTTATCCTTTGTTGGAGATTTTACTGTAGAATCTGTCTATTGAAGGGCTGAGGCATTAAAGCCTTTTACTGATGACTTAGGCAAGCTGAAGTCTACAGTCTCTTGATTACAGATTCTCCAGGCTCTGCCTTTATTGTAGTTAACATAAGCTGCAAATAAATGTTTATTGAGTTCTGGATTTTGTTAGTTCTTGGCATCTGAGAGTGTCCTCCTATTCAATGCAATTCTATCCTCCACTTTGGACAGCTTCTCCAAGCAAAACTTTCTCCACCCTCAACTCTTGCTTTTCTTGTGCAATCTCACTCCTCTTCTAAGATTCCTTTCAGAATGTGCACAACTGACCCTTTCTTATTTTCTGCTGCCTTCTCTCCTTGCCTAGTGCAAACAGAAAACACAAATTATTTTCCAAATATCTTATTGTTGCCTTCCTGAGTGCCAAGGTTGGCTGATAAGCAGTGATTAAAAACCAGTTTGACTGCATCATGGGGTGATTCTGCACATTACTTGGAGCTATGAGGTGATGTGGGTACTGGGTAGGCTTCTCGATGCTCTGCCTGGCCTTCCTACCATCCTAATTGCCCTTGGAGCTTGACAAGAGGTATTGCCAACTTCGCTTTCAATACATCAGTGTGTGCAAGTTCCCTGGAGGGACCTAAGTGTAGATTTATCTTTGGGGAAATATTATAACCTGAATGTGTCAGCTTTAACTCAACCTGCTTTGTGTGAGCTAGTGGGTGAAAGGAGCGTGTGTTAGTTTAGCAAAGAAATTAGAAAGTGTACAACAAGGTTCTAAGTGACAACAAAAAAATGAAACCCCAATGATACACCATTCCAAATCTTGCTTATGAACACATTTTTCAGCAATGTATCCAAAATGGAGCAAGTAGAAATGTTCAAATGTGTCTCTTCTCACTGTCTTGTGCTGGGGGCTTGCAGCACTATTTACAAACTTTCACTATGTTCTTCAGTTAATATATTTCTGTTATGTTAAGCAGCTTATTATCCAAGACTGTTTCACAACTTGGGTAACATTTCATACATTTAGTTCTTCATTGTATCAGGTTGGGTATTTTCCAGACACCAGGGATGGGCTAAAAGTACCATAGACAACATGAGATGTCAAAGTGCATTTTCTAAACCACTTTCTTTTCCCCTCTTTGTTAGTTGTAGGAGCTCTGGGTACCAAATCCACATGGGACGGCAGCAGCAGGGTGGGAATGCAGCAGAGCAGGGAAAAACAGTAGTAGGAAGAGTACTCTGCTAACTGAAAGAGTGTAGATCATGTAACTTTTACAGAAATTCCTATGTCTACCCTTTCTGGTAAAAACTGAACTCTCTAGATCCCTGAGCAATGGGATTTATCAGTTTGCACTCAGACCCTTCCCTCTGTCCTTCTGTCTAGCCATATGAACAGTTCTGCTAATGGTAGACTTACTTTCCTCTGCCAAAGTACTTCTTCAGTGATCCACACATCACCTCCAGTATCACAGCAATAAAGGTGGTGGAGCACAAGTCACTGTCAAATACCATGGAGTAGACTTTGGA